TCACACCAGGTGATCCACGGATTATTTCTCGGACGATGACCGGCTTATGTAGTTACGCAGGACGGAGCAATGCGGTCGCACGTTTCACATTGACGCCAGGGCGTGTTCAGGTGGTAACGATGGCCATGCACTGATGGCTAAACCCTGATAGAAGGAAGTTGACTTTGCTGTTGTTTCATTTAATTGTGTGCCTAAAGTGCTAAGACATTTGGCACGATTATTAAGGAAACAGAAGTCGAGTTCACGTAGACCAATTCATAAAAGCTATTTCGTCTACTTAGACGACTTTGATATAAAAGTGGAAAAGATGGTTCAATTTATTTCTTCCTTGCTACTTAATGCCTACGAATCGTGCAATACCTACGTAAGAAGTGAATCGTTCTGCAGAATGACTCAACGGTTGTCAGTTTAACAGGTCAACCGTCAAGGCAATAGACGGAAGCTTTTATTTTGAAAAAGAGCCAATTGCAGGGAATATAGCCGCACGAATTATAAAAATCAAACCACAGAATGGGTTTCCATAGATTCAGACGACGTTCTTGCAAGTTGCACAATACACACCCACGTCCATAAGGAAAATAGCCGGCTGTGCGTCCTCAATTGACGAAGACTGGACCGGCTGACCACTGACCAATCATGACAAAGCATGATCATCAGAAAATGATGTTGAAACGAAGACAATACGACCCGGATATACTTAAACGGATGACGCAACGCACAGTCCACAGACTACCCTCAGGTGAAAGGGAGAGACGATGCCCTGTTTAGGCGAATCACCGATGAGCTGCTGCGACCAGGCGATCGATGACGAAGCAGAGGTTCTAGATATTCCCGCCAGGTAGCACTAAGGACACAAACGATATTTGAGCGCAGACACTGCTCTTTAGGTCTTGAGACCATTTCAGGGACGGGTTGTTGAATGATGGAATAAGATACTGTAGACATTGAGCTGAGTCGACTACCAATGGTCAGGTAAGTAATTGAGTTGACTTGGAAGGTCAGCGGTTTACCGAGACCTTAAAATCGGGTAGGTACCAAAATCGGGTAAAATCGGGTGAGTGCAACACACCCGATTCTTTTCGAAGCTCTCGCTCAAGTACAAGGGCCAGCCCAAGAGAGGGGTGTACGAGCTGTCGAAAGAGAAAATGGATAATACCGGCGAGGGTCAAAACACCATATACGAGTACATGGCCGTTTTCTGGATCGTCATGTTCAACCATGGAACATCTGAAGTCAGGGGCGGATCCAGCCGATCCGTTTGGGGAGGGCAAAAGTTTAGCCGACCATCGGCGACCCCGACCCACCACCGCGCCAGTGACCAAGTTACATCACAACACCAGTTACACTATCTTACCGTAAGATGGTGTAAAATGTCTTATGTTAACCCGTGCCAGCCGCGCTGGGGCTCCTGGATTTTCACGCCCCTGGGGGATGTTTGAACACCCATATCCCTTCTAACTCGGCTCCTGGACCACGTACGTGTAGCAACACGCGGTAGGCGGCGTTTGAAAGAGTGTCAAACATAATGACCAAATTACCCCAGTCACTTTTAAGGTCAGGTCAGATGTCAGATCACCAGAGCCCATCAAAGGCCAAATCCCGATAATATTTAGGTCCAGTTTCGACAATTTTGAAGAACTGGCGCATAACTCGGAAACGAATAGAGCTAGAGCGCCCCAGAAAAGCTAATTTGATAGCACTGTTACTGCTCTTTCTGGATAATTCGCTCAGATTGGACCTAAGATCAACGGTTTAGCCTCCAGGGGAACCTGCCATAACATATACTATTTTTACGGGAACGGATTTTCTGCGATAACTTTGGAATCAAACCTTGTGCGATCTTACTTTTACCGGCATCGTGTTCCTCTCGCAAAGACGCGTCGAATGAGTTATAATTTGATCTTAGACATTTGGTCAAGTCATGACCATGGAAAAGGTCGTGTTGCATATCAGTCGATCCGTATCGTAAAGCTGAACACATCTAAGGTGTTTCTATTGCTCTAGAATGCCTCCAGCAGAAGTTATTAGCGAATTGCTGCAAACTATTGCATATCTTTCGTGACCTGAGATGAGCTCAGGGACATAAGGAGGGGTCACGGGTGCTATTTTCCGGTTCACTGTGTGCTGTTTAGGTTGTACCTCGGTATTGTTAAGAGTGACGTTTCTTATAAATTTAGCACGAATGTTTGAAAGGGCGGATTGACGGGAGCCGGAGCCTACGCTAAGCAGAGCTTGTTGCGTAGAGCCCGACTCCTACCGTCCGATCGCGTAATTCCGGGTGACAGGAGAATTTAGTTGAACGTTTAACAATGCCAATGTTTAACGTGCCCTTCAAAGCCGGACACGGCCTGTCCCACTCCTGACTTTGACTGGCTGCGGCTGCTCCCACCAACCTCAGACCATCCCCGTCGGGAGTCTCAAATATCGAGCGCCGGAGCGACTCAAACCCGGGCTCTCACTCCCGGGAGTCCATTGCTTTACCAACTGAGCTACCGGACAGGAGGTTTGCCCCAAAAAAGGTGCCTTTCAATTTTCTCTTATTGACTTATAGTGGACAGGTCGCAAAAATGACCTAGCCCTAGGTCATCGATATACAAATCATGTGACTAACATTTTGTACATAGGTACTGTTACCCTTATTAACTGCTGAAAGTTTCAAAGCGATCCGTCACTCGGTTTAGCTATGGCAAGCATTGGAAATGTTTTTAGGTTATGTCACTTGACGTGCAGCTATAGACTTCGTGACCTTGAGAGACCTTGGTCTGACATTTTCAGAACATATGCAAAAAATAGGTATAAAGTGGCGGCTAGGCACGTCGCCGTTTTTTTACGCGGAACGCTCCGCAGCAATGAGGCTCCCAACAAATGACAAAACTGTGGATTGCTTAGGTAATTTCGAATATAGGGTGGTGGGCGTCTTACCCGACTGGGCATCTTGCCCCGTGTTACCCCACACCATGGCCATTGGCCACACTGCATATGCTTATTGCTTATGCATGCATTCAGTTCAGGGGGTTAATCTAATATCAGCATATCGATTATCGACCCAAAATATCAGCAGCAAGTGGTCAGCTCCTTCCTTCGGAATGGCCGTCACGGCTTTTCGTCCATATAGGCATCGACGCCGTATTAGATTTGCTCATCGCTACATGCTTTGGGAGGGGCAAAAAGATAGTCTTGCCCACACGATTTGGCTTTGGGGAGGGCAAATGCCCATTTTGCCCTCCCCTGGATCCGCCACTGTCTGAAGTCGAATAAAGTACTAGCCAGCGAGACAAAAATAGGTTCGCGTGCAGCAGCTAAGCTCACATAATGCCAGCACGCAATGTTTCTAATAAAAATAAGAGACTCATCCACGTGGAAGTAGAACCAAAAGAACACGATGACGTAAGCACGTCAATTATTATTGTAGTATTTCCGTCACATCCATCAGCCGTTTTCGTGGAAGGTCTAACGAAGACAAATCCGTGGAATGTATGCAGTCAGCCGTAATGCAACCACTAATTATGAAAATCTTAGATATGTGAAGCCGGCGTTGTACTCAGGAAGTCAGGACTAGTACCAATCGAGACCAGAATAACTCCTGATATGCCGGATAGGTGTCGGACCTGCCCGTCATAGTACCGACAACCTTACACCGGAGGGAGCCAAGACCTTTTCTCTGGGAGGTTATTGGGAGACATTCGTCCCGTTTGCCGGGCTGGGTGCAAATCAGTGCCCTTGCGACACCTTCCCAGTCCCGTACGGTGGCTGTCCGTTTCTCAGACACTTACAGACTGGTGATTAGATCACACAACCGCGTCAACTGGGTGACGAAATGTTGGCTCATGCTATCATAGAGCCAAAACAATCACAACTACACCACGGAGACCCAGCAGCCAGCGGTGCTCGGTTGTGGATTGTGGAAGGCTGCCAAGCTCACACTTGAAGCTAGCTGACCGGCGCTCGAGGACATAGCGTGCTTTATCACAGGCTCGTGGGTAGGTGACAGCGTGCTAAGTGATGTCAAACAAAAACACCCCACGAGCCGCGACTATAACAATACAAATTACACAAAGGAGCCGTGCCATCAACACGATTTCAGACCATCAGCTAGCATAATATATAATGTTTCAGGCTTTTCCAGTTCAGCGTTACGATGTCGGAAATATTATGTAAAATAAAGCCCAGCGTTTATTCCCCGCATATTTTTAGAGACGCGTTAAGCGTTCAGTCCTTCAGTGTCCACTGACCACCGCTCAGTGGATTTTACATTTTGGCCGGTCCCAGTTTAGCAAAGTTCCACTTATATCGATTCACGTGGAGCAAGGTCAATTCAAAAGACGCTTAGGCGTTGCAAAGTTCCACCCACCCATCGATCACTCACCCTGGAAACTACTGCCGTTAACGACACAGTAGTTTCCATGCCGCTTTGTTTTATATGGACGAAATTCATATCCAGTTATTACACCAGACATCTACGAGTTGTCCGGTTTTTCTGAAGGCATACAATGAAATTTGTGAAATTCCGACGCGTAACGTAAAACGGCGGTAAACGTTAGGGAAGGGCGGAACGCCACAATATCTATTTTTCATTTCTATGTAGAGAACTGTGTTACTAGACAATAGACATATCGCATGCATGTTATCACGTCACTTATTGTTGAAAGCATGTAATTACGTTATTTTCCAGTGAAGATAGCACATAAGCACTGACCAAATTTAGGGCAAAATATCTTTGAGTCTGAAAATTTTCATACAAGCTCAATATTAAATTTACGACAAATCCAGTATGTATACCAATTTTCCAAACAGCAGTCTACGGAATAAAAGCCCGGCTTCATTTTCCACGGACCAACACCGTACCATCAAGCAGCGCTACCGCTTAGATCGACTGTGGGGAAATGGGGAACGAATGGATCACAAACCAAATGAGTCACAATCTCAACACATCTGAGAAAACACGACAGACTCAGACACATACCACCAAGCAGCCCATCCACCCTCAGCGGGTGACCCACCTTGGTTTTTGTTTGGAGTCCATCTTGGTCTCGGGGCTGGTCCTGTAGGTGCCGATCGCTCAGACGACGGCCGGACAGACGTGAACTGATTCACACGCCAGTCGATACGGCACGCTGACGCCGGTGGTCGTACGTGACGTGACGTCCCGTCACTATTGATGTGGTGTGACGATCCTCACGTCTTATTCCTCCTCACTAAGGATCGTCCACGAGTGGTGCCGGACCGCCTGTATCGAGTGGGCCCCGCCGCGCTGCACTGACTCGGGGCCTCTAGCCTAGTACAATCTTTCCTCCAGCTGCAGGCGGCGGGGGCCAATCTGAGCTGCGCAGAGCAGGGGCCAGCCGGATGGACGAGTTTCCGGCTTTCTGCCGCGCCGTTACTGCAGCCGCCGCGCCGGTTTGGGAAGTTCCACCGGTAACCGCAGGTCGAGTCCGGTGTGTTTGACCTATACACCGAGCGGACGCGTTATCTGCGACACGGTCAGACGGCGCGGTCACCGAGTGTCGTCCGAGAGCCGGTCTGTTGCTGCACTGCACTGTCTCACAGGTTACACTCGCTGTACCCCACTTATAGTCGTTACGCCGTGCGGTAAGATAACACTGTCACCGATGACAAACCGCCGCAAACCACAGTTGATTCAGACTAGAGCTGTCACAGTTCTCCCTCAGCTGCCACCCACAGAAGCTGAGTTCCGTTTCTGAAACACGGAGTCTGACAAAGCACTACTCACAATCAGTTCCGATCAGTTGTTATCGTCATCCCACGCGTGGACATCACCACACCGTCCTCTCCACTGCACTGACTCACACTGCGGTCCGTGTCCGTCTCCACCTCGGTCTCATCAGTGTCACATGTCCCTGCCGTCCGCCAGCGACTGTCACCGAGCTGGCACGGCGCGCGGAGCTCCGTCCGCCCCTCCCCCGTCGACGACGCATCGCAGGCTGCACGCCGCACCCTGGAGCCAATCTGGTTAGGTGCCAGGGGTTCAGCCAGCGGCGATACCAATCTCATCGAGCCGACAGCGGGCGGGCCGGCCAGCCCGCAGCGCTGTCAGCTTTCCAGAGGCTGCCGCGGCGACGGTCTGTCCATCGGTGACGACGGGGGAGGGGGGGGGGGTAACGTTGAATACGAGACGGACGGGACAGGACGCAAGTTCACTGCTGCTCCGATAACGCAACAATGGCGGCGGAGAAGCCGGATGGGGAGGGGACCGTAGGGGGAGGGTCACCGCAATGCGGTCTGACCGTGCGTTCGTGACCTTGGCTCGTCTGCAGTTTGCGTCAGCCGCAGCAGCCGCCAGAGGAAACGCACGAACGCCGGATGTCGGTCGCAGATGAAGAGCGAGGCTCGCTCCAGCTCCGCGCGGAGGCGGCGCACGGCCGGCGCCCACTGCGGCTGGCCGTCGCCGGCCGCCGACTGCAGCAGCGTCTCCAGCATGGTCAGAGTGTAGTGGGAGTTCTCCAGGACGGCGGCCGTGTCGGCGCCGGCCGGCGGCAGGCCCAGCAGCGCGCGCCGGTGCTCCTGCTGCAGGTGGGCGGCGGCCGCGGCCAGCCGGTCGGTCAGCAGGACCAGCAGCGGCGCGGCCAGCAGCGGCACGGCGCCCAGCGTCAGCAGCAGCCGGCTCTGCTGCAGCTGCGCCGTCTGCCGGCTCAGGTCGCGCGGGGACAGCACCGACTCCAGCAGGCGCTCCAGCAGGCCGAGCGCCGTCGGCTGGGCGGCCGTCAGCAGACGGGGCCGGGCAGCCAGCACGCGACAGGCCACCTGCAGGCCGTGGTGCAGCGACAGCCAGACGGCATCAGCACCGTCGGCGGCGGCAGCTACGTGACGCAGCACCGTGTCCAGCGCCGTGTCGAGCTCGGCGTCGGTCGGCGGCGGCTGCCGGCCGGACGCCGCCCGCTGCAGCCGCGTCACCGACTGCAGAAACTGGAGCGAGGCGCACCCACTCGGCGACACCGGGGGCTCCGGAGGGGCCGGTGCGGGCGCGTCACCGCTGAGTTTTGACGAGTCGTCGATTTCAGAGGTGTTCTCGTCAACTGCCTCTGATAGTGAGGTGTTTATGGAAGCATCGTCATTGAGCCTCTTTTGTGAAGCACCGTTGTCGTCTGTGCAGACGCGTCCTAGCTTCAGTTGTGAATTATCCGAAGTGACTAGCGTTCCACCTCTCTTTGAGAGAGAGTTAACACCTCTCTTTTCCGGAGAGTCACCATCGTCGACGTCTTCTCCGACCGGGAGGGGCGTGTGGATTGCGTCCAAACGAGGAGACTTTGAATTAGTGCAGCCGAACAGCTCCCGCTCGACTGAAAAAAACCGCCGCGACGTCCGCAAATGGATCGGCGTTGGCAGCTATCTTGCTCCGGAGAAGTTCGACATAATCTTGAGTCGAAACGCCGGCAGGGCGCAGTCTTATTATCGATATGGCGAGTGCAAATTTTGTGCATGCCATCACCTCTGCGAGTTTTATTTACAGCTTGAACTCCCTTTAGGCCTCGGAAGTGGCCGATTAAGTACCTATATTCTGTAGAGAATGGTTTCATTTCAATCTGAAACAAACGACATCACATCAAGCTAGACTGAGACAACCTTGTCTTGACCGTAAGAATTTTGGTCTTGACCATTGCGCAGCCAAAAGGACGAACACTCAATTACCTACCACTGTGCATTAACCTTGATATTTACGATATTTACAAGTCCTATTTATTTGTGCAGTTTTTAATAATTTCAGGAAATCTACAACACAATATCAATCAAATTTCAACGGTGAGTAGGCCCGCTTAGTTCAACGGAGTTCTAGAGCCTTGAGACGAGTTCAACTTGTGATTGTGTTGTTCTTTTTCCCCATACCTAAGATTCTTACAGATTGAGATACCTTTTCCCGTTTCCCGTTAATTTAGCGCCTTGCTTTTTCCGTTGTATATACCCTGCCAAGGCCCTAAATACCCTAAATTGCTCTACCTTCCCTGCTAAATACATACCAGGGGGGTTCGCTCCCGTGCCTTCAGCATTACGAAAAATGGCAACAGCCCGTGAGCAGCATCAGCGCTCACGCACATGTTCAAGGAAAATAACATGTAATTAGCTGCTGACGACGGCCCTCTCCACCAATCAGAGCTCGGTAACTCGAGCGCTGATTGGCTGGTAGCAAACGCGTCATATGTGGGTCTCATTTTTTGCTATCAGTGAACGCGTTATTTAATACACAGTGGCCTATGGAGAATGGCCCGCGGAATTGAAGGTCAGTGTTTTATTGCTTCGTACATGCGAATGGGAGTATTTGAGTGGCAGTTGACACCATTTTCGAAATCTACAGTGAATTTCTGATCGACTCATGTATATATTTTTATGAATTTGACAGTATTAGTGCTACATAGTCGGTGTTTTATGTTGGTGTTGTTTCTCTCGACCTTTGTCTTGGACTTTAATCATATCTTTTCTCGAAAGTGCTTGCCATAACCAGGTCTAAACTGTATCTGTATAAAGGGAATATGTGTTGAATATGAGGGGAAAGTAGTCATGACCATTCTGCCTATCAAACTGCCAGAAGGTGTGCTTGTAAGGTGATTGAAACTGCAGTACGGGTTGCAGATGTGGGTTTGACATTAGCATTGTTGTTGTAACCCCACTTGCTCTAATAAAATGGCAACATGGGGTTATGTACACACTATTGCACAGCCTGGTATCAAGCTGGTTGATATGTGGAGGATAATGAAAGCATAAAAGAATAGGAGCGTTGCGTCTTGTGACTTATGTCAAGTCATTTTAAATCAAATGATTGTGATTGTAACTTTTACTTCAATTATTATTGCAAGTTTTGACCTTTGTAATCATCAATTTTTATGTATACCAATTTCATATGCCTGTGTAATGTCTGTGCGGCTTTGTGCAGTGTGTGTGTCTTGAAACAAACCAATTTATTTTGTACCTTTTTGTACTTCAACAAATGTATGTCAAAGGACAAAAATGTCATGTCTATTATCATTGACACTACTACAGCTAACTTTGCCTGTATTCCTATCTTTCAGAGGCATTCAATTCAATCTGCTTTCCAGTGCAGTACCAAGGAGGCTGCAACTGAAACTCGCACAAAGGCAATCAAGTGTCACTTCATCAGCCTACAGTAACAGCCCATCTGTAATCAAGATATGGATGAAGGGGCATAGAAGAACAACCAGTTCAAACATGAAAAGATTGTATTTTGTTTTGGAAGCTATTTCTTAGCATAACAGAACAGTACACTTGCTGCTTTTTATGTTTGCCCTGTGTGCAGTTTTGAATAATTTTAACCATGAGATGCTTTTGTCAACTTTTCTCTTTACATAAGCTTCCTTTGTCATGCATGTGTAATTTTGAGTTAACATGCATGATGTATGGACATTTCCCTTGGCTCCATAGAAGTTAAAACTACTTGCAAGCTTTGGTTATGGACATTGGTGCTATATATGATGCTTCAAATGTGTCCAGTAGTTGATGAAGGGAGAAGAGGAGTAGCACAGCTGATAGCTATTACCAAAAGTATGTGCTTGTCTGCACTTCGGGCTGTTTTACTTCCTTGAGTTAAAAAACCCTCATCTTTTGTTTCTTTCCTGTGTGCCCATTGTTTCCATGGTGCTATACATAAACGACAAGTTTGAAGTTGGTACCCAAGTGAGCAAAATGTGTATTATTTCAGTCCGTCTTGAATCATTCGTCTTGAATTATATCCCTAACTGACATCCTGTTATTTGTCCTGCAATGTCTGTGCCTGTGTCCGCCCTTACCTCCGGCTCCAGCCTCCAACCAGCCCTGCTGAGCTCTGTCGCCGGCGCGGTGTGTCGCAACGTGCTGTTTCTCCACTCCAGCCGACAGCTGCTAGGAATCGTCCTGTGCCATGCGCCATGCGACACAGCAATTGTAAGCTGCAGGTCACATTCGGACTGATTGGCTCCGCGTATGTGCATCCGGCCGGGAGCTAGTCGATATCAGGGACGTGGGTCGGACTGTTGTGGCGGCGTGCACTGTGCTGGTTGAAGTTGTATTTCTGTTAGTGAAAAGCATTAATACATAACCGTGGCCGCAGCCCAATGTTATTGTGGATTTCAGAGGGAGTGGCCAGTCAGGAGGGCCCCATGTGGGTATGGATCCAGTGTCCAGTGGGATTGGGCATTGGCTAAGATTTCCGGCGATTGATAAACGCTTCTATGATAGTAAACCTATTGAGTTATGAGGGGAGGTCACGTGACGGACCTGACCTTACTAAACTCTTGTGAAAACACGACACATACGAACGGTAAGAAACCGACAACTCTTCTTTCTGCCAAGTGTCATCTTTATGTGAAGGATTTCTTGGCACTGAGTGTTCAGAAATTGCGTTGTTTTTGGACTGTGCAGAGGCTCACGAGCGACAACATAGGTCAACAACCTGACCTACCATAAATATGCGACTTGTACCATAAGATCCAGCTTGATCAAAAGATAGGACATGTCAAATTTCATCTCTTTATCTCAAAAGAATTTTGAGCTATCGTAAAAACCGCCAGTGTGGCACCATATCGCCTCCGCGCGCGGTCGGAAGGTAAAAGTTCGCCGGCTCTAACTAAACAAATAGTCGTCGTATCGCAAATTCATTGACGGCGCTCGAAGCGTCGTTCAATTTACTTTCGAAACATATCCTAACATTACCGTTTAACTGCCCCGCGCAATCACCAACAAGCAAAAGTTCCGCGCATCCCTCCTCATACAGTGTTAGCGGCGGCCGGCCGCCGGCCGCTGACCCACATTCGCGTCATCAGGGAATGCCGCAACTAATTTATTGTTTCCAACTTTTTTCCCGGAGCGTTCTACCTGGTTTATATAGCCTTGATACATACTCTGCCTTTTCCGCTGCGCTTATTTTGTCTCAACGCGCTGTTCATGTCAAGGCCACTAATTTAAAGGACGTACTATACTACTGGGACGCAGAGGCGGATCCAGCTCAGAGTTTTTTTTTGGGGGGGGGCAAACCATAACAATCTATCGATTTTTTCCACGCCTCGTCCATAGGCGCTATGTTAAAATCATGCCGTTTGGGAGGAGCAAATGCTCATTTTGCCCCCCCCCCTCTGGATCCGCCACTGCTGGGACGCACTGCTAATGCAAATTGCACGCAAATTGGTCGAGGTGGTGTCTGGCGTAACTGGCTCCATAAAAAGCAAAAGAAATAATGAGTTAAAAAGTTGAACCATTCTGCCTGGTAGAATATTCCAAAAAAAGTAGACAAAAACGTTAAAAATGAGCTAACAAGGAGAACCATGCCATGTTCCAGAGCTGACGTGGTTGCACTGTTGAGTGTTGCAAGGTTTTCTCAAAATGACATGTTTTTTTAAGCATGCTTGGTAGTTAGAAATATTGTCAAAATGGCTCATAGTTGAAGCCGAAATTCGCGCGCACCACATCAATAAGGCAGCAATACAATTTAGTAGCAACTTCTACTTCAGCTTGGTTTGCAGAAATAAGACAAAAGCGACGAAAGTAGCGCACCAAACAAGCAAGAGACCGCCCACTTTCAGGAAAGCATTGACGGGAATGGGAGCTGATTAATTGCGTCCAGAATTTGCATATTAATTTTTCCACTGCCATTTTAGCCTATATAAAACAAATAACCTTAAATCAAACGGGTTCGGAGAAGAAGAATCTCCTAAACTTTGTGATATTAGTAATGTGATAGGAAGACGAAGAGTTTCTGAGTGGTTACCTACATGTTGATGTGATTATCAGAACCTAAACTGAAACTGCTCCTGGTTAAACATTTTCAAAACTGCTTCTACCTGTGAAGAGGAGAACACAAAATCTACAAGATGATTTCTCCCTCTGACAATGGCAGCAGTGAGGACCACGAGAATGGTAAGTCCAATTACCAATACGAATGAGCTAGTCGTCTTGCGGGCTTTTGGTGTGTGCTGTTGAACCATAAGAATAATGATAACTTAAACTTTTGAGTTCTGACTGTGAAAGGCTCAGACATAATTGTATTGCTTTTTCAAATTGTTCAACTTTTTTAGTACCTAGAAGTTATCTTTGCGGAACTCAAACTGAGTGGCGAGTGCTCCTGTCACCTATGCCTGTAAGTTGTAATTGGATGGGAACTTCAACCAACTTCGATTGTGACCAGTGAGGTGAAGATCAAGATGAGGTAGGTACCTACCATTACAAGTAATCTTTGATGAAGGAACTTGCTTTTTTGTTACCTTTCCAAATGTCACAGCTGTACCACATTCAACATTGCTATGGCATGTTAGCTCATCCTTAACATAAATTAATCAAATACATAAGAGGGGTGAATTATGTTATTAACAGAGTGTAGGTTATACCTAAGTATTTGATTATTGAGATAAAATCCACATGGTCTGGTGAGAACACTCATTGCTGGCAATTCCTAGAATAATCCATTGAATGTGAACAAAACAGATTGGCAATGTAGGTGCAAAGGGGGCACAAAAATCATGAGAATCAGCATTAGACAATATAGAAATTTGATTTGCAGATGTCCAATCCTCAGTACTGATGCGCTTTTAGTTTTAAGATGTTAAAGTTGATGATCTAAGATCAAAGATGAGATAGTTCTGTTCTGGTTAGTCTCATAAAGTCATAGCTAAGATGTGCAGAGAAAAGATACTAGGATCAATGAAAATCATGACTGATATTACTGGGCTCATGTTTTATAGTATTGAAATATGTATTTATCTTACTCAAGCTTTCTAGACTCTTGGAAAGAGTTAAGAAAAATACAATGAACTTTTGGTCTAATTTTAAGCAAATAGTTCTCAGCCAGAACTGGTGCTGCCTAGCTTCCCCTAATAAGGTAGGTAGGTAACAGCATTACAATATCTTTTATGGTAATTTAACCTAAAGGGATTGAAACTTCATTTCTGACACACCACACACTTTAAAATATTATTTTGACACATGTGTAACCTTCAATACAACCCATTCATATGTTCAACTAAATTTGTTCTTTTAGGAATAATTAAATGATTTGTTGGGCAAAATTAACACCAATGAATCCTACAATTGATGTAGCCTAATTTAGCTTCAACAGCAAACTACCAGTCTCAAGATATTTGAGAGGATTAATTCACTATTTAATAGGTCAACTCAAACATGGTCAGCAATTTCACAGTCTGTGGGTAATGTGCTATTAATATTAAGCATTTCTATCTTAAGAACTTCCTGAGCTGGTGATGCCTAAATAAACCAAACTAATGCTTACCTGACACATATGCATACATGTTGACATTTTTTATAAGTAGTTGCTTTTACAAATTCACATATGCAATTTACATTGAACATGATTGATACATTTTTTTATTAACAAATTGTTTATTTTCAACCTTCCTTATTGGACCAAGCCAGATTAAATATTTTTTTCTGACATAATAAGTTATTTTTTTTTCTTAGTAACCAGTTTTTCACTAAAAATAGTGTCAACCCACGGTGCAGAAACACACAATTACATGCAAAATGTCATTTGCTCTTTCAATGAATCTATTTCAAATAATTTGATCGAACAAAGTGGTCGAGGCAAAGCTTATGATGACCAGAACTCGCAGCCAAAGAGTGTCTCCACGGTCCGATTAAGGAAGTCCGGGTTATTACGAGCGAGCGAGCGCAGCGAGCGAAGCGAGTCTTTTCAATATAACGGAAAAATCTCAGTATGAGCGGCCCGGCCCGGCCCGGCCTGTGCCTAACGCTTTTGAGAGGCTTATATCTCAGCAACCGCTGGACCGATTGGCCTGCGGTCTTTTTTTTGCTGGGTAGCCCCATCCCTTCTACCCCGTAATAGACTACTTTTTATACATCTCAGTGACCGTCGTGGCACGTGCCACGTGAAAAGTCAAGGGTGTTCAAGCTGTTTTGCGAAAGTAGTGATTTTGAGAGGCTCATATCTCAGCAGCCGCTTGGGCGATTGACTTGCGGTAATTTTTATAGGGTAGCAGCATCCCTTCTTCCAAAAATAGGATACTCTCGATGCATGTGGGTCACCCCCAGTGCACGTGCAAAATACAACAATAAGAGGTGTCAAATTTGTTCCCATTTTGATAACTCGATAATTACTGGGGCGATTTCGCTGAAACTTGGCATGCAGGTGGGCACCCACCAGGCAATGCATTCCTATGTGTTGCGGTTAAGGTGCTACTGCACGTGCGCACGTGCAGGGGGCGCTTCCAGATCTCGAGAACGGCTGGGCCGATTGCGCTCAAATTTGGTACACGGTTGGGGACTAGTTAGTAGGGTGCAGTGAAAAAGTCAGTTTGGACCCCGTTTGCACGTGCGCACGTGCAGAATGCCGCTTCCAGATCTCAGGAACGGCTGGGCCGATTGCGTTCAAATTTGGTACACCGCTAGCGACCGGTTAGAAGGGTGCTTTGCGCAAGCCCGTTGGAAGTACCCTCTCGCCCTTCCGCACGCGCAGCCTGCAGGGCTCACTATCTCGCTCGCTCGTTCTTCGCCCAAAAGGCGTTTTACTGGTCTGGAGAATTTGCCATTGGGGGACCAAAGTTGATCATTTTCATAAAACTTGACATGAACCGTTCGCCGGCTTTTCTTTGCCGCCCCACTCGCCGAGCATGATCCTTCAGCCGGCTGATGACCCGCGGCTGCCCAACTTGTCCTTCAGCCAGGCGCGAGCTGCCGCGGTGGTGGGGACGGTCACACCGTCCCTCTGAAAGCACAGAGGTCTGACACCTTGTATTTTTCGTCAAGGAGTCTCATATACGCCTGCCTGTCCACGTCCATTCTGGTTGATGGGAAACCAGTGGAGCATCAACTGTCCTTTCACGAGAGCCGCCCAGCACATGAATTTCTTGTTGTCCTGCTCTCGACAGGCGACTCTGGTGCCTGGGCCAACTGGTGATTAGTATCGCTCGTTTTGCTTGTTGGAGCTTTGCTTGAAAGGTAACCATCTTCATCAGTCCAGCTGGCATGTCTTCAAGGTAATTTGGCTGGTTCAGAAGCCACTGGCTGAAAGTAACTGTCAAAGCGGTGTGTGGCAGAAGGGAGCCATGATGGCTCCCTTCTGCCACACACCGCTTTGACAGTTACTTTCAGCCAGTGGCTTCTGAACCAGCCAAATTACCTTGAAGACATGCCAGCTGGACTGAGCCATGGTATGGCTCCCACGGCCAGCACATCTTTTGTGGGTGAGGTGCTGCCACCTCGCGGTGCTGCCGGGTACTAAAGCTTGGTCTTTTGGGATGGAGCCACTGTCTCACAGCTTTTATTTCAGCTTGCATTGGTCGAAGTTTCAGTGCAGTGCCAGTTATCCATCAGAAACTCTGAACTCGAAACATATCATACTGATAAAATAGGTAGACTCGGAAGGTCAGGATAAAATACACAAGGAGCTTTTGCATGGTCTTTCATATTCAAGTCAATATCCAAATCCATCAACTATCCGTTCTCACACACCCATCCATCGACCGTTAGATTGAGAACTGGGAATTTTACGTACATACAAGGAAGGGATGGTGTAATGGGTCTGTTTTGTCTTGATGATTATTGAAATATCAAACATCTAACCAATGTTGTCAAGCCTTTATGTAGGTCTTCTTTAAGGCGCTCAGCCCCGATTTGTCACCAGGGTGTCGGCGCGCCCTAAAGCCCCAATAAACAAACAAAGGTTACCCGACCAGACCAATACCTCCCCCTAATTCCTATCATCCTTCCGGCTCTGAGATGGTCTTACGAGTATTAGACCGAATGAGCCTAACCTAACAAAACAAACAAAATTCAAGTCACATCACAAAGAGTTGGGCACCTGTGCCTGATTGTTTGTCACACCTTGTTCCGCCTTCCCCTTACTGCTGAAGGGGCGTACTGGTGTCTCTTATGTCGTGTTTGATGCAAAAAAAAAAAAAAATCATTCATGCCCGTTAAGTAATTCCGAGTGTGAATACCTAGGTACTTCCAGGTGCCTGTTGAGGCGGCTCGGTGCGGTTTTTATCGGCAATTATTCCCAATTGCCGCCACTCAGATGGATCATGGAGAGGTCCTTTATATGTTTGGTGTGTATGTGCGTGCTAACGTGCTAACGAGAAGCCATTGACCTTTTGTCAATGGCGATTCATGAATGATGCTAAGCATTCACAAGCGCCAGCTTTACGTGCAACAATCATCAATCCTTTTGTCCCTTATTTCTGCTAAATTGTCTGAAAGCTCCTTCACTGTGTTTTCCATTCATCTGAAGAGATTTTTCACTGGGCTTACCTGGTAATCGCCATGTGAGTAATCGCTGCTTTTTCTGACACTCGCCACTCACAAAACATTCAAGTATTAATTGGGGAAAGTCTTATTTGATTACGTATACCAAGAATATGGTCTGATTGTTGTTATTTGAGTTCACCTCAACCTAAGCCTACATTATACGCAAGAAAACGCACCGGGATCCTATTTAAGGAGTCCCCAGCACAGATGGAGTGAACTCCTCATATGTATATCTAAATTAAACATGATCCACATCCACAAACATTAAGCATTTTATTTGTGTCATTGTTCAACATGCTAGACTCTTTATCCTCGAACTAATGAGCTCAGGTCAGTGTCTCGGCCGCCCTATTTTCATTCATTTTTGTTGAATGAAGCAATCACATACCAAAGCAGCAGTTGTCTTTCTTTGAAGCTGCACGAAATTTAGATATCTTTATTTGGAGATGGTTTGCCCAGTCTTTGTCAGCTTACTCGGACGGTAAGCTCAGTCGGCTGTGAGCTGTGTTTCATCACCGCCCGGTCGGTCGGAGCCGCTCATAATAGCTGTGCAGACTGGTTACCGGTGACGCGCCGCCGAGGTGGTTTTCTGGTTGGCTGCCTGTCTGGAGGGGCGCGTCGCCCACGCTCCGTACTGGTGA